ATGAAGATGGAACTTGTAAAATTTGTTAGGTTGAATTCATTAGCATCGAGTTTTAAACGCATACACAAATACATACATACTACTGAAAGAACCATACAATGATACAGACACGCATACAAACATACGTACACACAAACATGGAGATAGCATACAAACATACACACATACAAAAATTAAAAAGCTAAATGTCATTACCTTAACTACTTGCCATACTCAGAGAATTTAACAAGCACCAGACTCATAAATACAAAAATACATACATACACCCAAACACAGAGACACACAAACATACACACACACAGAAACACAGAAACACACATACACACACACATACATACTCACGCACACACATTTCCTTCATATATCCGGATACTAGGACAAAACTATTGACGGAACTTATTGATTATATGTACACCAAATATCACAAGATCACTAATCGTATGTATATGTGTTTGTTTGGATGTATGTATGTATGTATGTCTGATGTATGTATGTGTGTATGTATGTATGTATGTGTGTATGTATGTATGTGTGTGTGTTTGTGTGTGTGTGTGGGGATAGGAATGTTTGTATATGTATGTATATAAGTTTATTATTTGTCTAAGGTATTTGCTCTACATCATCTGACATTAGCAGCTTATAGCATTGCTAATACAAGAGAGATTTAACGATAATGATGAAGAAGATGAAGAAGAAAATGATGATGATGAAGATGATGACGATGAAGATTTTATAAAGCGATAAAGATGAAAATGATGAAGAAGAAGATCATGATGAAGAAGAAAAAAAAGATGATGATGATGAAGAAGAAGAAGATGATTATGACGACGACGATGAAGATTTAATAAAGCGATAAAGATGATGATGATGATGAAGAAGAAGATGAAAATGATGTTGATGAAGAAGAAGATGAAAATGATGTTGATGAAGAAGAAGATGAAGAAGATGATGATGACGACGACGACAACGATTTTGTAAACCGATACAACAGAAAAAAATCTTCCTTTCTTTCAAACGATTTACCAAATATTCATCCAGGTATATGCAATTGCAATATTTACTACTACTACCACTACTACCACTACTACTACTACTACTACTACTACTACTATTACTACTGCTAATACTAAAAATTACTCTTACTACTACAACTACTACTACTACTACTACCACTGCTACTACTACTACCACTATTACTACTACTACTACTACTACTACTACTACTACTACTACTACCACTGCTACTACTACTATTCACATGATCTCATGATAATCTTAAAACTTTTTATGACTGGATTTTTGATAAGTAAAATAACAACAACAACAACAACAATAACAACAACAACAATAATAATAACAAGAACAACAACATTTGTTCATTTTCCATTTGTTAATTCGATTTTAACGTCAAATCATATTTTGATTGTAACAACAACAACAACAACAGCAAAAACAACAACAAAAGTAGTAGTAGTAGCAGCAGCAGCAGAAGCAGGAGTAGTAGTAGTAGTAGTAGTAGTAGTAGTAGTAGTAGTAGTAGTAATAACAATAATAATAACAATAATAATAATAACGAGAATGACGTCATTATGAACATACCATAAACCCTTTGTACCATGCTTTTATCTGCTCCTTTGAAAATTCCGTGTTATCGATGAGGAATGCTAAATCGTCCTTCGATAGCTTCTTGCTATTAGCGTGTCCCATTTCGTTTTGTTGTTGTTGTTGTTGATGATGATGATGTTGTTGTTGTTGTGGATGTTGTTGTGTTGTTGATGATGACGTTGTTGTTGATGATGTTGTTAATGATGATGTTGTTGTTGTTGTTGATGTTGTTGTTGTTGTTTTTGGGATTTTGAGGTTATTTATGACGTAGTCGATGCAGTATTTTTAGTTGTTTTTATTGTCGGTTAAACTTGTTTAAAGTGTTAGCTGCTCTCTCCTCTCCACTGTTGCTAGTGTAGTAGTAGTAGTAGTAGTAGTAGTAGTAGTAGTAGTAGTAGTTGTTGTTGTTGTTGTTGTAGTTGTTGACGATGACTTAGATATGGTTGATGTTGTTGTTGTGGCGATTTTAATTCTGACCGTGACGTCACTAATGTTTTGAGGTTTTTTGTTTTGTTTTTGATGACGTAATAAATAGTCATTTATTTTAGAAATATTTTAGTGTTTTTGATAACTTTTAAGAGTAATAATTTCACTGAAGTTTACGTTGTTGCTGGTGGCGGTGCTGATGACGATGTCGTCGTTGTTGTTGTTGTTGCTGTTATTGTTGTTGTTGCTGTTGTTGTTGTTGTTGTTGTTGTTTAAGATAATGATGATGATTCTGTTGTCGTTGACTGTGATGATGATGGTTTTATTGTTTGCTTTGTTGATGTTGTTGTCATTATATTTTGATAATAATATTAATTATTATTTTTATTATTATTATTATTAGTAGTAGAAGTAGCAGTAGTAGTAGTAGTGGTAATAGTAGTAGTAGTAGTGGTAGTAGTAGTAGTTG